ACACAAAAAAAATAAATATAAAAATAAAAAAATAAAAAAAAAAAGGTGGGCAAGTGGGTGTCGCTCTGCTGTACAGTAGGTTACAAGTGGGTCACTGTATAATGGATGGTATTAAATTTGAATTCAATGATAAAATATCATTGTATAAGAAAAACGATTCTGAGCGGTGATGGTATGTCAGTCTATGTATAAGGCATATTATATACATATCTATGGTATTAAACAAAAAATTGACCATAATAGGTACCTATAATAAATTCCAAATTAATCATATCACAATATCCATTAGATACTTATAACGCGTTATACATCAACAAAAACCGTGATACTATCATAGATATAGAATAGTACACTTTAGAAGTTTCAAGTACCCACGAATAGTATTATTCAATCACAACAAAATAACTAAAATCGTAATTCTTGGTTTAAATATGAAATTTTGTCTAAATTTGAAATTAAAATGTCTGTAAAAAATAAGTGTGTTTATATATTTTTTAGATTTTTTGGTTACAGTATGAATTATTTAAGAGAATCTTTGTTTTAAATTTTCAACTCTTAGTTATAAAAACTGAACATTTTATAATTTTTTAATTCCAACGATTGATAATTTTCGAGATTTTGATAAATTTGGTCAAAATTCCAACTTTAAATGCTTATAAAAAAAAATCGTGCCTATGTATTTTTAATATTTTTCAACTGATATTGTAACAATATATCAGGAGCCTTGTATTAAATTTTTATACTTTTTGGCCCAACAGATAAAACTTTATTGATATTTATAGAAAAAAAACTAAAAAAAATGAAAGCTGTAAATGTCCATAAACAGCTCAAAAAGAGTCAAAATATTTTCAAAATTGTATGGTGTGTAGGAAATGCTAATATAAACATTCAGTGAAATTTTCATGTATCTACAGTTATTCGTTTTTGAATTACAACAAAATAAGGAAATCGCTACATGAGAAATCGAGTGAAAATCCAATGTTGTAAAAATTTGAATTTCAAACGCTCATAAAAATTTAATTTGACTGTCCGGTAGAGATTTTTTTATTTATAAAGGTAGATAATCTTATAAGGAATCTTGTGTTTCATTTTCAAATCTTAGATTTAAAAAGAAAAATTTTTACGAATTCTTAACTCAAAATAATTTGCTAATTTTCGTGATTTTTCCATATTTTGTCAATTTTTGAACTTTAAATGCTTATAAAAAAAATTGTGACTAAGGATTTTTAATATTTTTCATCTGCCTTTGAAACAACATATTAGGAGCCTTCTATTAAATTTTCAAGCTTTCGCAACCAATAAATAAAATTTTATTGATATTTTTAGAAAAAAAACTAAAAAAAAATGGAAAATGAAAATGTCCCTAAACAGTTCAAAATAAATCAAAATATTTTGAAAATGTTATCGTGTATAGAAAATGCAAATATAAACAACCAGTGAAAATTTCATGTATATACGTTCATTTGTTTTAGAGTTACACCAATAACCAAAATCGATTTTTTGGAAAACCAATTTTGCGTAAAAATTCTCGTTTTTCCTTAATTTTTATGTTGTTTTTCCCGGCGCTTGTGAAAACTACTGGGAAATTTATACTTTTGACCCCCCAAAGTACCAACTAGATTCACTTTCCTATCAGAAAAGCTACTGATGAAGAAAATCCAAGCACTTTTACTGTCCTAAAACGTGATGACAGACACAAAAATATAAATAAAAATATAAAAATATAAAAATATAAAAACATACATCATTGTAAACCAATACATTCATCGCTCCGCTCAGAATCTAAAAATAAAAAAAAAAACACACATCATTGTAAAATCAATACATTCATCGTTTCACTCAGAATCTAAAATCTCAAAATATGAACAACTACAAATTACAATACAAAATCTAATTTTTTAATTCTCATTTTTTGCGTAATGTTTATTTATGTCTTTAGAAATATGATGGAGATATGCATGAGAGTAAGACCATTGAAACATTGAAAGTCAAACAATTGAACGTAGAATCCGTGTAAGACAATATCCAGCCTAATACGCTCATTTTTACGAGTCCCGTGTTTCTGACAACGTTCTACATAACCCGTATAATACGATTTCACCCTTTTTTTTTTCTTTTTTTATTAGCTATTAGTATATATTATGATATAACAACATTTACAACTATATACACGATACAATATAATACATTACATATTAATATTAAATAACAAAGTATCCAATATAAAGGAAATTACTGATTTAATGGCGGTAGTGGATTTTGTATTGAGAATGGAGTAGATATTAAAGGGGATATTGAGAGTTTTAAGTAAGTTAACTAAAATAAAGCGTTTGGTTTGAAGGGCAGGACAGTCACATAGTATATGGGATAAATCACAGATAACTTCATTTGGATGAAGTGTGCAGAATGGTGAATCGTTAAGGCCAAGTTTGAAAGAGTGACTGCCGACTGGGTAGAAAATGATGCCCTATACGTTTATTATAAATACGCCGATTAAATTGTACAATAAATGGTCTAGGTAAGTTTAAGTTATTAAACCAAGTTTTTTTTGGGATATTAGGGGTGATATTTCTGTATCTTGAAGCGAATTCTGCAGGTAGGTTGTTCCAGAGAGAAATCCAAGTGTTGGTGGAGTGTTGTTTTATCAGAGGTGTGAAGTCCGGATGTGGGAGTTGAGAAAAAGAAGGAAAGATGAAATTGGATGAAAATTTAGCGAGTTGGTCTGCAACTTCATTACCATGTATACCTGCATAGGCGTGACTAGACTTCATCAGCAGGGGCAGCCTAGCTAATGATCGGCGCTACCCTATTAGTTATTAGTGAACCGAAAAAGACCTATACACCCAAAGCTGTATTTTTTTAACCCCCACCCCCCCACCACCACAATGAAATATTTATTTAATTTAAAAAAAAGTCTAAATTATCTATTTTCAATAATAAACTACAGTAGCTTCAAAAATATTATTCATCTATAGTGATCAAAATGTAGGAAAAAATGTCCGAAAAAAACCGAATTTTTGGAAAATTAAAAAATTGTATTTACGCTTAAAATTTAAAATAATTTTAAAAAAAACGTGGTTTTAATTGTTTTAAATGAAACCAAATTTTTCCAATTTTTCCGAAAATAAACTGTAAAAAAACCCAGTCGTTTTTCAGAAATTTTGATCCCTATTTATATACAGCCTTGGATCATACCACCTAGCTACAAATCAAACATAATACAACAATAATATCAATAATACCTAGATGCGTACCGTACCGTCACCGTCTGTCTAAAGTCTTTATATATAGTAGGGTTTTCCGATTTACGAAGTCAGGAAATCAATTTGACAATACATGTTAAATAAAGAAATTATCCACCTGATTTTGTTGAACATATCTTTGTAAGTAAATGTTAATTAAAACGATACATACAAAAAAATCAAGTTTAAAAAAAATAAATGTTGTGATCCTTCTGATTTAAAACTAGGTTGACTGGTACCTTTCAAAAATTGCAGGGGCAGCCCAGGCACCCTAGGCTGCCACCGTAGACACGCCTATGTATACCTGTATGACTAGGAACCCAAAGAAAGTTGATGTTATAGTTTTTTTGATTTAAGGTAAAAATAAGGGACTTGATGCGGAGGATAATTGGAGACAGATGAGAGTTAAATGGGTTTGAATTTAAAGCTTGGAGGCACGACAAAGAATCTGAGACAATTAAGTAATTATTGGGGGGGGGGGGAATTTTGAATTAATTTTAAAGCTTCGGTGATGGCAGATTTCACGCTTAAGACGCTATTTTTAACTGGTCCCTATGAGAACGTATACTTCTAAGAGGACACTACGCACGGACATTTGTCTTACAACTTACAAGTAACATAGCAAATTTTATGCTCAGCTGATCCCGTGATAGCTCCGTGAGTTTAATAATTAGAATGAATTGACCTCTTATAAAATGTTAAGGTAAAATTATTATCTAGGGCGTCTCATTAGCTTATTATTATATTTTAGTTTTAAAGTGAATTATGAGTATTTTAAAATTGCAAATTGCTTGTACACCCTAAGATACTCATTACGTTATTACGTTATTTTTTTGATATTACGTTTAGACAATAAATTCGACATTTCGGTAATGGTTACTACTTGTAATCTATTTTTTATACATGTTTGAATCAGAAATAGATACTTGGCATAATATTAGATCCAACTCCTTAAAATGTTATAAGTCAGCAACCCATATGTTTCCGGGGTGAGGGGACAAACTTTTGACGCAGTTTTTAATCGGAACAAAAAAAAAATATAATCTAGTATTGCAAGACACCGTTAGGACCAAAATTGGTCAAATTCCGTAATGTCACTAATTAAACACTAATGATACCCAAAACCCCTCTTTGACACTTTATTTTCAATAAATTATTTCTACCCGGGCTGCTATTTAAGTAATATATCAATATCAGGAACCTTATATTAAATGTTGATGCTTTGTGGTCCAACAAAAAACATTTTATTGATGCCTACTAAAAACTAATAAAATTGAAATTTGAAATTGTCCGTAAAAAGCTCAAAACAAGTCAAAATATTTTGAAAATTTTATCAATTCCTATATTGATAAAATAAACATATGATATAAATCTAAAGTGTCTACGGTTATTCGTTTTTGAATCAAAGCAAAATATAAAAATTTTGATAAGAACTAAAGTTATTTCATCTGTCAGGTCCACGATTATAAAGACGATTATAAAGTTCTTTATAATTGTGGTCAGGTCTTACCCTGTATTTGTATTTTATCATTATGTATAACATATTATTGTAAGATATGTAGGTACTCAATGATTAGATGTAAAAAAAAATTATTCAATTTTTGTTACCCGAAACTAAAATGTATGTGTGATCCATTGGTTGAATTACGTGATGTTATATAAGTGATAACCTATAAATTATAATAGGCTATAACCACCAATAATAGGGCTATCCAGTGCAAAAAAAAAATTTTCAATATGAATGGGTAGTTCTTTAGATTAGTGTGTATTTATGGGACAATGGTTGGGAGGGGGGTCTAGACCCTATTGACCCCCCCACTCCATAAATACGGCACTTGTTAAAGCATACCAACTACAGCTTTATAATATTAAATTAATATAGATAGAGTCATGGAGAATATAATATGTATATTATTCAAATTTAATATAACATAATTTTCATGCATTTAAATTATTATAAATATTATTAGTACCTATTATCACAGTATAATATATTTATGCATGGATTTTATATTCATTTACAAAAGATTGTATACCCTTTATAATTTTAATGCCCAAACATTGTGTGAATTTTGAATAGAGAACAGGTAAAAAGCCCAATTGTGCGGTTGGATAGTTATTGCCTAAAAAAAAAAGTTTCTAAGTGGAGACACACTATTTCTTATTATATCTTATAATTTATTTTTATTACTATTAGTAATTTATTATTTAATTAATAATACATTAGGTACATTAAATTCATTTTTAACAAAACATTGTATATATTGTATAATAATAATTATGTTTTATAAAATTGTTACATATTAACATATAATAACTTTTCAACTTATAAGTATTGTAGTAGATACATACTTATAGTATCATACAATTAGATAGAAATTAAACATAGTAATAAAAAAGTCATTGTTAGAAACAAACATCACTAACATTTATACATAATTATTAAGTTTAATCAGTTATTTTTTGTATCAAAATATATTATTCAACTTACATTATAAACAATATTAACAATGTAAAAATGAGATTAATAAAATCATAAAAAAAAATTTCAACATTTTTAATTTTACTGCTAAAAATTCTTAAAAAAAAAGACATGGAGATCATAAGAATAAGGATTTTATTTTTATATTATATAAAGATAATTTATTTATTTTAGTTAATACCATATTGTTTGGCAACTTCTACTGGTAAAGGAACTAACCAATAATCAGGTAATTGGTTATTGTGTTGTTTTAGGTATTGATTGATAAGCTCATTAGGACCCGGATGTTCTTTTCCATTGGGTAATCTAACATAAAAATTAACTTCTCCATTTAAATCTGGCTTTGAAATAACTTCACATTTTACATTAATTGTTGAAGGATTATTTGGTAGATGGCCATTTGCCATGGTTGACCTCCTTTTGATTGAATTAAAATGGGAGTCTATTCTTCTCTGTGGTGTTTTAACCATAGTAACCTCAATACCTTTTGGTACATGAACATTTGCTGGCATAATAGTAACGTTTTGTGAAAGTTTATGTATGATAGAAGATGTTGCTTGATGTTTGATATAATTGGTAGGTGTTGTTTGCCTGTTTGTAGAAACAGAGTTGTATGATTTATTTAAATTAGTACTACGAGGTTTATTAATATTTGGAGGTGTACTCTTGGGTTTTACAGTCATAGAAATAAATTGAATATCATCTTCATCATCACTAATAATAATTTGATCATCATCTTCTATTGAAATAACAGCAGATTCTATTTGTTTATAATTATCTTGTTCATTGGTTTTTCTAATATTATTTTCAGTTTGTACTTGTGTAGAGAATGATGTTTCAAAATTATCATTAAGAATTTCAATATCGTTTTGCATATCTTCATCTAGATTTATAATTTCTACTTGTTTTAAACCACCAGGTGGTTTTTCATTTTCTTCTTTATCACTATCAATTAATACAACTTCTTCACAACTACGAACATTATCTATATTATTAGTATCAACTAATCTTTCGTTATGACCATTAACAAATGTATCAGTATTATTAAATATAACGTCATTTTTAGTTTTTAGTAATTCAACTGATTTGATAGATTTGTCTTTGTCATTAGTACCAAACACTTTATTTGTATTGTGTTCTGAAATTTTATCTTTTTCCATTAATTGCTTTTCTAGTTCAACAAGTTTAGAAGGGGTTTGTAGTGGTTGTCTGACTTTATTTTTAGGCTGGTTCATAGCGCCCCATTCGTCTTCGGAATCAGTAAAATCAGATATGGATTTAACATCATTTTCACTAAGATGTTCTTCAGATTCATAATACTTATCAGTTTCAAAATCTTGCCTTACAACTAATTTTCTTGTGCGTTTCTGGGAAATGATTTCTGTATTCTGAGCTAAATAAAAAAAAATAATAATATTAGCTTAAATAGTTTGTAGAAAACAAAGTATTGTGAGTAAAATGTATAAAAAATATTGTTTATTTTAATAAATAGAATATATTTGGTATGTTCAAAATATTTGGTATAATTTGAATAATCCTATAAATATGTATAGATTTTAAGCTAATAATTATTGGACATTGATACAACTAGAATATAAAATGCATCATAAAGAAACATATCAAGCTATAAAACAAATATCATACAATATTGAAAATTCATTAAAATTAATAACATGTATAATTTATTTAAAAAAAAAAAAACAGAATCTTATCAAAAGTTAAAATATTAAATATCATTTTTAAGTTTATTTAAATTTCTTTAGATTAAATAATGTTTAACTTGTTAACAAATCAAAACTCGGTGACCATAGTCCTACATTTTTGTCAGGAGATAATATCTTTTATTGTTGAGTATATTCATTGCATCGTTAGAAAAAAATGACCATACTACTCTTTGAAATGAGCTCATAGGCACAGAAATATATCACCATGAGAGAACCATATAACAATAAACCGATAAAATTATCTAATTAAACATATATGAATATTAAGTTACTGACTAGTTACCAAATACTGTCGTATATAATATTAGCTAGCTTATATTTTTCTCTTTAAAATAGAGATAACAGCAGTCCCCTTAAAACATATAATAATAGATAATTTAATTGTTATTGTTATTCATTCTGGTATTCAGAAGAAGGGCACATTTTTGATGAATAAACTAAAAGGAAGATGTGGTTCACATATTATCATTGAACCAGAAAAATAATATAACATTTTAATCTCAAAAAAAAAAAGCGGGAGAGTGGACAATGCTCTGCTGTACATTAGGTGTCTAGAAAGTAATGTATGTGTTACATTTAAATAGTTGAATTCAATGATATAAAATCATTGTATACGAAAAACGATTCTGAGAGTAATTGGTGTGTCAGCCTATAATATTAGTTTTTGGATAAGAACAAAATAAGAAAATTGTTTTATGAGAATTTGTTTATTTATGGTTGAATATCCAATAATCTTCAGGCCACTAATTATACTTCTACCTTTATAATTATATTATTTATCTATATTATAACATGTATACTCTGAAAGTCTGAACAATTTATACTTTTATATAAATTATTTCTGTATCCAATTAATTATTTATGTACTCTACCTTACTGTACTTATACCATATTTGTTATACTATGTAAAATTGCTGTTTTGGCGTTTAATAAACAATAATAATAATAATTAATAATATCCAATTTCTAACTTCAAACAATCGTAAAAAAATAATTTGACCTTCTGGTAAGCTTATTTTTTTTTTTGATAGGTGTACGAAACTTAAGGGGAATTTTGTATTCAATTTTTAAAGCTTATCAAAGCCTATGTAGTATGATGCTAGGAATTTCTAATATAAACATTCAGTAAAAATGTCATCTATCTATAGTTATTTAATTTAGAGTTACACTAAAAAACAAAATCGACAACATTGGTAATGTCTTATCTATCTACAGTTTAAAGCTGTTATATGCCTCTGGGACTTGAACCAGTAACAAGTAATTGGTCAGTTGGTGATACATCATAATTGCGTTTATTTCGTTAAGTTTGTATTTTTGTTTGCTCGAAAATTGTTAACACAATTTTTTGGTTATTTTTGAATATAGTTTTTAAGGAATTTAAACCCTAGTAGGAGTTACCTACTTAAACAATTAATTCCTTAAACTATTGTGTACTTAAGTAAAAATGATCCATCTATCTATCACATCTACACTCTAAATTTTATCTACGATTTATGATTTAAAGTACAATACAAATAACAAACAATTAATACTACCATATTATTACCTCTAATAAATTTTAATTTAAAAAATATTTATCACCTGTTGAGGGTGCTAAGCAATTTAGGCAAAGTTGATTTTAATAGTAGATTCGACTTGTTTCTTAAACCAATAATTTAATTTAATAGTTTGAAACTGGTAGAAATTAGCTTACCTAGTATGTAAGCAAAATTGGACAGTCATATTTATTTGTCCAACATAACTATTATTTTTTAACACATCAATAGTTTAAAAAAAAAAACAGAAAATTATGTTGAACGCTTAGATTTATAGTATTTATTACTATATAATTTATAATTTTAAATAAATAATTATTATTGAGTAAAAATATATATTACCTTGAGCTATTGGCATTGAATCTTTAATTTCCAAAAGTGAAATATCATCTTTATTTTTTGAGCAAACCAATGTTTTACTATGTCCATTATACTCATCATTCTGCTTAGTATCTAATAGGTTATTAGTATCGAATTTCAGCATTTTCCCTTCTTCCGATAATCGCTTTTCTAGTTCAAGAAGTTTAGAAGAGGTCTGCAGTGGTTGTTTGACTTTATTTTTAGGCTGATTCATAGCACCCCATTCATCTTCGGAATCAGTAAAATCAGATATGGATTTAACATCATTTTCACTAAAATATTCATCAGATTCACCATAATCAACTGTATCAAAATCTGGCTGTACGATTAATTTTCTTTGTCGTTTCTCAAGAATAATTTCTTCATTTTGAGCTAAAATTTAAAAAATATACATAACATAAGATTGAATAAATAAATGAATTGTAGAATAATACAATAGTATAAAGTATAAAATTGAAGAACTCGCTGTAGAGTAGGTGTGAGCATACCTCATCATTGAGTAAGTAACCGTAACGGGTGTGTTAAATTTTAATTCAATGACAAAAATCATTATATATTTTATGTAAGAAAAACAATTTAAATCAGAGATGGTGTCAGCCTTTTTATGGATATCTTATATATATTATATAATATTAAAATTATGAGATTATTTTAGATTCTGAGCGGAGCGATGAATGTATTGGTTTTACAATGATGTGTGTTTTTTTTTATATTTTTATATTTTTTTTTGTGTCTGTCATCACGTTTTGGGACAGTAAAAGTGCTTCGATTTTCTTCAATAGTACCTTTTCTGATAGGAAAGTGAATCTAGTTGGTACTTTGGGGGGTCAAAAGTAAACATTTTCCAGTAGTTTTCACAAGCGCCGGGAAAAAACAACATAAAAATTAAGGAAAAACGGGCATTTTTACGCAAAATCGATTTTCCAAAAAATCGAATTTGGTTTTTGGTGTAACTTTAAAACAAATGACCGTAGATACATGAAATTTTCACTGGTTGTTTATATTTGCATTTTCTATACACGATAACATTTTCAAAATATTTTGATTTATTTTGAACTGTTTAGGGACATTTTCATTTTTCATTTTTTTTTTAGTTTTTTTTCTAGAAATATCAATAAAATTTTATTTGTTGGTTGCGAAAGCTTGAAAATTTAATAGAAGGCTCCTAATATGTTGTTTCAAAGGCAGATGAAAAATATTAAAAATCCTTAGTCACAATTTTTTTTTATAAGCATTTAAAGTTCAAAAATTGACAAAATATGGAAAAATCACGAAAATTAGCAAATTATTTTGAGTTAAGAATTCGTAAAAATTTTTCTTTTTAAATCTAAGATTTGAAAATGAAACACAAGATTCCTTATAAGATTATCTACCTTTATCAATAAAAAAATCTCTACCGGACAGTCAAGTTAAATTTTTATGAGCGTTTGAAATTCAAATTTTTACAACATTGGATATTCACTCGATTACTCATGTAGCGATTTCTTTATTTTGTTGCAATTCAAAAACGAACAACTGTAGATACATGAAAATTTCACTGAATGTTTAAATTAGCATTTTCTATACACCATACAATTTTGAAAATATTTTGACTCTTTTTGAGCTGTTTATGGACATTTACAGCTTTCAATTTTTTTTAGTTTTTTTTTCTATAAATATCAATAAAGTTTTATCTGTTGGGCCAAAAAGTGTAAAAATTTAATACAAGGCTCCTAATATATTGTTACAATATCAGTTGAAAAATATTAAAAATACATAGGCACAGTTTTTTTTTTATAAGCATTTAAAGATCAAAATTTGACAAAATTTATCAAAATCTCGAAAATGATCAATCATTGTAATTAATAAATTGTAAATAGTTCAGTTTTTATAGCTAAGGATTGCAAATTCAACACAAAGGTTCTAGTAAATAGTTCATACTGTAACCAAAATATCTAAAAAATATATGAACACAGTTATTTTTTACAGACATTTTAAATTCAAATTTAGACAAAATTTCATATTTAAACCAAGAATTACGATTTTAGTTATTTTGTTGTGATTGAATAATATTATTCGTGGGTACTTGAAACTTCTAAAGTGTACTATTATATATCTATGATAGTATCACGGTTTTTGTTGATGTATAACGCGTTATAAGTATCTAATGGATATTGTGATATGATTAGTTTGGAATTTATTATAGGTACCTATTATAGGTCAATTTTTTGTTTAATACCATAGATATGTATATAATATGTCTTATACATAGACTGACATACCGTCACCGCTCAGAATCGTTTTTCTTATACAATGATATTATATCATTGAATTCAAATTTAATACCATCCATTATACAGTGACCCACTTGTAACCTACTGTACAGCAGAGCGACACCCACTTGCCCACCTTTTTATTATTATTAATCACATAGTAGGTTGAACTAATTTTTCAACCATAAACAAAAAAACATTGCATATTCTTTATAAAATAATAATATTAATTTATAAGTCAAAAACATGTACCATAAATATAATGTGAATAGTTTTGGGGTATAATTTAAATAACTTAAAATAATTAGTGTAAATGTTTTGTAAATTTCACTTTTCACTGCGTATAGAAAATAATAATATACATAATGGCAAAAAGTTTTAAGTCCTAATTATAAATACTTTTTAAATTACAATTGATGGTAAGTCCTAGTATAACTGCGAAAATAGGTTTCTAGAAAACACAATATTAAATGAGACAATTTTTTCACACACTCGGTGGTGTTTTTATAAAAAAACGTTCATTTATGATTTTAAGGCAATAATGAAAATATGCAATGAATATATTTCTGATTTTATAATCACAAAACTAAACAGATTAAACACTTCCAAAGGCCAAGAACAATTATTATTTTGCAAAGCTCTTATGGACTACATTCACAAACTTTACAAAAATAAATTTCTTGTACTATTTTTACTCTTTTATTTATGTACCTAAGCAAGACTTGAAACCGATATTAGATAGGCACCGATTTTGAATACCGGTTATAACCATTCAAAACCGAAATTGAAATCGTAAAAAACAAATACCGATATTCAAAACCAAAAACGAAATCGGAAAAAATGAATACCAATATCCGAAACCAAAATCGAAAAACGTTTCCGGTTTCAAGCCCTGTACCTTAGTATCAAAAACTATTTGATATTTCATATCCTCACCAGTGATGTATATGGGAGGAGTAGAGGGTTCAACCACCCTCCCCGCCCAAATTTATTGTTGGTACGACATTATAATACGGCGATTAATTAATACTGTACTCTGTTTAAGTTAAGAAATACAGCAGCGTCAGTCAAGTATAATGTCTTTAGGCCGACGGGCGACCGCATTTTAGCATTTACGCAAATAACATATATGCCGACACGTTATCTACTTATCTGTATAAAATTTAGTACAGAGAAGTCTTTCAAAACATTCAATAATATCGGGTTCCGGAACAAATGCAAGAGCGCCTAACTTTCACACGTTAAATGGAAAATACGGATTATATACAGATATTCTTATCCTCATAGTTGCATCAAAAAATACGTATAGGATATCTTAGTCCGTGGGAATACCTTAACTAGTTAGTATAGACTATAGATATCTGTGTTTATAACAGATCGTTGGACAGCCATAGTACCATACTATCTTAAATCGTGGTCGGGACTCGTGAAATGTTGTACGGAGTGAATATAATTCTCACTTTGTTTGCATTGCGTTCAACTGCCTTCACGTAATCACGCGTAATAACGTACGTCACACCAGCCCCCCCATTTTCAAAATATTGAAATTTTATTTTTCTATCTTTTAGTATGCTTTTTGTACGAATTTGTAAACATTGTTACAGAATTTGTATGAACAAAATGGCTCAGATATATCAAAAACCCGTCGGGGGGTTGGCGAGACGTCACGCCAGCCCCCGACATGGATTATTTGAAATTTTTTTTGTACCAATACATTGGCCTCTATTTGTACGTATTTGTACGCGCAAAATAAACATTCGTACGTTCTTCGTTCAGGGGGGATATCGAAAAACCCGTCGGGGGGGTGGCGAGACGTCACGCCAGCCCCCGACATGGGTTATTTGAAATTTTTTTTGTACCAATACATTGGCCTCTATTTGTACGTATTTGTACGCGCAATATAAACATTCGTACGTTCTTCGTTCAGGGGGGATACCTATCGAAAAACCCATCGGGGGGGTGGAACAGTCAGTAGGTAGGAAAAAAGTTGGTGGGTAATCTATTCTAAATTTAAAACATACAGCATACTTAAAATAAATTGTCTTAATTATTATAGTAAATATTATTAAATAATAGAAGCCTTAAGGTATATTCAAAGTTTATTTCCAAATATTTTACAATAATACTAATAAAATGTTAATTCACGGACATAGTGCAAGACATAGCTAATACCAGTAATACCTATAATAAAATGACCACACCATTTTGTTTGAATCTAAAGAAAAAGTAAATAAATAATAATTAATAAACGTATTGGAAATAATAAATTGTACAGCATTTTGATCAGAAATTAATATTATCCATCCTCTCGTGTAATGGATACACATTGACCATAATAAGGGTACCTAAATGGTAAATAGGAGAATAATAATATATTATTACGTAACTAATATTTTATTTTTAATGTCGGCATCTAAGTAAATTTTTCATAAATGTATTACTCACACATATTGGTAACACTGCACTTTTTTATTAAAATTATTAAAATTAATTTAGGTATACATTTTAGTAACTACCTAGATTTTAGATTCTGAGCGGAGCGATGAATGTATTGGTTTTACAATGATGTATGTTTTAATATTTATTTTTTTTGTGTCTGTGTACACGATAAGTAGTCGAAATAATGCTTCGATTTTCGACTTCAGTATCTTGTTCGATTGGAAAGTGAATATCGTTGGTGCATTGGGGAGGTCAAAATTTCCCAGTAGTTTTCAAGAGCGCCGGGAAAAACAACATAAAAATTAAGGAAAAACGGGAATTTTTACGCAAAATCGGTTTTCCAAAAAATCGATTTTGGTTTTTGGTGTAACTTTAAAACAAATAACCGTAGATACATGAAATTTTCAGTGGTTGTTTATATTTGCATTTTCTATACACGATAACATTTTCAAAATATTTTGATTTATTTTGAACTGTTTATTGACATTTTCATTTTTCATTTTTTTTTAGTTTATTTTCTAGAAATATCGATAAAATTTTATTTGTTGGTTAAAAAAACTTGAAAATTTAATAGAAGGCTCCTACTATATTTTTTCAAAGGCAGATGAAAAATATTAAAAATCGTTAGTCACAGTTTTTTTTATAAGCATTTAAAGATCAAAAATTGACAAAATATGGAAAAATCACGAAAATTAGCAAATTATTTTGAGTTAAGAATTCGTAAAAATTTTTCTTTTAAATCTAAGATTTGAAAATGAAACACAAGATTCCTTATAAGATTATCTACCTTTGTCAATAAAAAAATCTCTACCGGACAGTCAAATTAAATTTTTATGAGCGTTTGAAATTCAAATTTTTACAACATTGGATTTTCACTCGATTACTCATGTAGCGATTTCCTTATTTTGTTGCAATTCAAAAACGAACAACTGTAGATACATGAAAATTTCACTGAATGTTTAAATTAGCATTTTCTATACACCATACAATTTTGAAAATATTTTGACTCTTTTTGAGCTGTTTATGGACATTTACAGCGTTCAATTTTTTTTAAGTTTTTTTTTCTTTGAATATCAATTAAGTTTTATCTGTTGGACCAAAAAGTGTAAAAATTTAATACAAGGCTCCTGATATATTGTAACAATATCAGTTGAAAAATATTAAAAATACATAGGCACAATTTTTTTTTATAAGCATTTAAACATCGAATTTTGACAGAATTTTTCAAAATCTCGAAATTTATTAATCATCGTAATTAATAAGTTATAAAATGTTCAGTTTTTATAGCTAAGGATTGAAAATTTAAAACAAGATTCCACGTAAGTAGTTAATTATCTTACCGAAAAATCTAAAAAATATACAATCACAGTTTATTTTTATAGTCATTTTATGTTCAAATTTGGACGAAATTTCATATTAAAAAACCTAGTTATTTTGTTGTGATTATATAATATTATTCGTGGGTACGGGGTACCTACTTGAAACTTCTAAAGTGCATTATTATATATCGATGATAGTATCAGGGTTTGTTATTGATGTTGATGTATAACGTGTTATAAGTACCTAATGGATATTGTGATAATGTGATATGATTAATTTGGAATTTATTATAGGTCAATTTTTTTTTAATACCATAGATTTGTATATAATTTATCTTAAACCTAGACTGACATACCGTCTTCGCTCAGAATCGTTTTTCTTATACAATGATATTATATCATTGAATTCAAATTTAATAGCATCCATTATACAGTGACCCACTTGTAACCTACTGTACAGCAGAGCGACATCCACTTACACACCTTTTTTTTTTTTATTATGTACAGTTGTAATTGTGAAACCGCTTCATACTATACCATTTGTTAAATCATGTTTTAAAATTATCAGTTACTAATGACCCGTCGTTTATAGTCAAGTGGTGTTTCATTATATTTTATTTTCTCAAAGTTTTATTAAATTGTTTTATAAGTTATTTCTATTTTTCAAAAATGAATTTTAAAAAATGCTCAAACGATTTTCAATCATTAGTTTATCGTATACTACTAAAAAAGGTGTTCAGAAATACACGGTGGAGTATGTAGACCTTTTCCACTTAAACTGATGAAATATCCCTGTAAAAAATCTCTCTGTAAAACAAGTGTTCAAAAATGAACGGTGAAGTATGTAAATCTCCCTGTAAAAAAGGTGCTCAGAAGGAACAAAACCATACTTACTACTTATTGAGTACCTAGGTGCCTAATTTCTTAGTTATTATAGTAATAACTAATATGTAAATATGTTTATAACAAGGGGCAAGGATAATAATCCATAAAAATAAAATTTAAAAAAAAAAACAGTATAACGTGTATATTATAACTGAAAAACTACTCGTTCAGTCGTTCGAGTTTTGGTTTAGATATAATATGCTTTATTTATAAGCATAAAAAAGTGAACATTCTTAAAAAATCACAATGTATAAACATTAAACAAAACAATTTATTTATTTGGGTTGTATGTGAATTTAATTTATTTAAATACATAAAAACTAGGTATAGTCCAACCATTATAGGCACATGTGCAAATTATGTATTATACCTATGCATGATACAATTTTATTATGAAATATATTTACGAATTACGATAATAATGCACCTTTCAGTGCGGCGAGATCAAAAACCAAAATATTGGGGTTAAGACTATGGGAATAATCTAGTAAACAAGTGCAATGCATTTTGAAGCTGTGTTTAACAAAATTATACAAAAACATTTGTGTATACCTAATATATTTTAAAATGTCGTAATTAAACACAACGTAAGGTCTTTGAATTTTGGGCGTAGAAACAAAAACATTATCTATAGTCCTGGTACTGGACTATTTTAAAAACTACTCACTTATAATATGTTAAAATAAATATACGAGTTAAATATTATAAAAGTCTCAAAAATACGATAGCGCGTGTGTAACAGTCATTAGCAATAATAATAGGTAATCTATTATATATTATAAAAATAAAAAATAATTTTCAAACTCATACAGTCATACAGCATACTTATAATAAATTGTCTTAATTACTATAGTAAATAATATTAAATAATGGAAGCCTAAAGGTAAATTAAAAGTTTATTTCAAAATATTTTACAATAATAATACTAATAAAATGTTAGTTCACGGAGATAGTGCCTAGCCAATACCTATAAGATAATGACCACAGCAATTTGTTTGAATCTAAAGATAAATTAACTAAATAAAAATTAATTAAAGTATTGGAAATAATAAATAGTACAGCATTTTGATCAGAAATTATCCATCCCCTCCTCTAATGGATACACATTGACCATAATAAGAGTAGATGGTAAATAGGAGAATAATATAATATTACGTAATTAATTAATTTTTTTAAATGTCGGTATCTAAGTATAATCAAACATTTTTTCAAATACCTATATAGATTAATATATTACAATACATAGGTACAGATTGTATTGGTGACCGTGACAGTTTTTTTAAATGAAACAATAAAGTTATATGTACTCCTGGAATAATATATAAGCTAATTTATACCCACGTACATAATGTTCAAATAAATCCACTTGTGAAATTACAAATGTCTCAAAAATACGCTTTGTATGTTCAAACAATTTTAATTTTAGAGCTTTTATTGCATGCATTTGAAATTTCAAATAACCCATGTCGGGGGCTGGCGTGACGTCTCGCCACCCCCCCCCCCCCGACGGGTTTTTCGATATCCCCCCTGAACGAAGAACGTACGAATGTTTATTTTGCGCGTACAAATACGTACAAATAGAGGCCAATGTATTGGTACAAAAAAAATTTCAAATAACCCATGTCGGGGGCTGGCGTGACGTCTCGCCACCCCCCCGACGGGTTTTTCGATATCCACCCTGAACGAAGAACGTACGAATGTTTATTTTGCGCGTACAAATACGTACAAATAGAGGCCAATGTATTGGTACAAAAAAAATTTCAAATAACCCATGTCGGGGGCTGGCGTGACGTCTCGCCACCCCCCCCCCCCGACGGGTTTTTCGATATCCACCCTGAACGAAGAACGTACGAATGTTTATTTTGCGCGTACAAATACGTACGAATAGAGGGCAATGTATTGGTACAAAAAAAATTTCAAATAATCCATGTCGGGGGCTGGCGTGACGTCTCGCCAACCCCCCGACGGGTTTTTGATATATCTGAGCCATTTTGTTCATACAAATTCTGTAACAATGCTTACAAATTCGTACAAAAAGCATACTAAAAGATAGAAAAATAAAATTTCAATATTTTGAAAATGGGGGGGCTGGTGTGACGTACGTCGCGTAATAGCGTTTTTATTACACTCGCGGTGTATACAGTAACAGGTGACGGCTTGGAGGGACAAAATTGGCCTAGCAAAGTCGCGACTGCTCGAGTACCTATATCATTCGGAATTCGGATACGCAACGCGGTAGTGATCACTTGTGGCGTGGAATATATACACAATTTAAAAAAAAAAACAAATAATCTGTTTTAAAGATATTAATTAATAATGTTCATAGTTTAGGTTTAAATTTAAAATAGGCGATGTTCAATGTTCATATAGACATATAGTATAAGATTATATGACATAATATGAATATTTAATATATTTTTATCCAAAAATTCTCTATGAACTCCTTCTTACTTCAAAAAAAATATGACATTTCTAATTATAATATAATATTTTAGCAGTATCATTGTATACGATGAAAAACAATAAGTGAAGATGGACTTTTCGAAGTCAAGGTTATCAAACAATAATTACTTTACAAATAAAATAAAAATATTTTACATACATTTTCGTCAACATTTTTAAATTCAAGTCTATTAAAAAAAACTGTGTTTATTTATTTATTAGATTTTAAGAGTTAAGTTGTACATTTTATACATTTTTATCAAAAAATTAATTTTCAAAATTTAAAATGCTTATAAAAAATGATTGTGGACTTAATCAATTTTTTTTTTAAATTCTACAACACTTATGAAGAATATTTTATTAATTTTTCAAATTTCTTGGTCATGCATAATTTTAATTTATTGACAGGAAAAACTATCCTATTAAATAAAATATACTAAAATATATAAAAATAGCTTAAAAAGGGTCAAAATATTTTTAAATTATACTACCTATGTATTAAAAAAGTTTTGTTTTTTATTTTTCATTTTCTAAAGTAACCAAAAGATTCACTATTCTACCAGAAAATAATTAAAGTTTAACATCTAAAATATATATTACCTTGAGCTATTGACTTTGAATCTTTCTCTTCCCAAAGTGACATATTATCTTCATCCTTCTGAATTCGATCTGGATATGATTCACAGTCTTTAAATAATTTTATTTTAGAATCATTGTTTAAGACAATGAAATTATATTCTTCTGGTTCAATTTTCTCAATAAAATTTTCTAGAGAGCTTATCAAGCTTTCTGGAACTGATGTTCCTTCCATATCCAATTCATAAAGAAAAGTCCGAAGACCTTCTACCGAATCAGCAATTAGCTTAAAATGTTTATCTTTTTGTAACGAACGAAAACCCCCAGAAACACCTATATAAATTTAGTATATATTGTATTAAATATAAACTATTAATAAAGAGGTTTGAAGAAATGTACATACCATTCATAGGTAGATTATCTTCATCTTTTATTTCTTCTGTATCAGTTTTTACTGATTCAAGAAATTCAAGACTTGGCTTAAAAAAATAAAAAATAATAATTATATTCAAATGATAGGTATAAATTATAATTAAGAGGACATCATATCCGCATATTGTGTTGTATCCGTCTTAAACATGTATGACATAGAAAAAACGTGTTTGCGCAGTCTGAGTAGAACTTGCTGAATTTTAGTTCTTGAGTAAAAATATCTATTATAAAATTGAATAGCAACAATATTTCTTAAGGCAAGTTGATGTGTTTTTTTTTTAAAAGATTGTAATTTTAAAAAGTTAAAGGTATTTTAAAAATAATGAAATTTTTGTTATTTCTAAATAATATATAAACATTATATTGGGTATAATAGAAAAAACATAACAACTTGCCTTCAGAAATATTGTCATAATTCAATTTTATAATATGTATTTATACTCTAGAACCAAAATTGAGCGAGTTCTACTCAGACTGCGTAAATGCGTTTTGTCTATGTCGTACGTGTGTAAGACGGAGACCACACATGCGGGTGTGACATACTCTTAAGAATTAATTACTTCATCATATGGAATGTTGTAATAATATATCCTTAAATCTGGCATTGAATCAAAAAAGAAATATTCCTCAGTTTCCAAATCATTCTTCCATATTGTACATTGTCTTTCATTACAATTGGTTACAATATCATTAATAGTTTTAAATTTAATCTAAAACAAATACATATAAAATAGAAATCCATGTACATAAATAACAATAATTTTAACTCTGATTGTTAATACATTTATAAGTTATTATACTCACAGTAACATAATCACAAAGTGCTTTTACAAGCCAAACTTTACTGAAATATGACAGTTCATTATAGTCTTTTTCAATTAAAGGATTCTTTTCATTCACAACAGCCCAAAAATCTGGATGGATTCCCAGTGAATTCATTACCTGAAGCATTAATTTTTTTTTTTATTATTAGTTATTACTTATTACTTATTCACACATTAATATAAAAAATAAATTTGTTTAAAAGTAAAAACATTACTCACAATAACTTTATTTTGTTTTTTTGCGTGGTATACTTTACACCAACCTGATACTTTTTTTGAAAGTTTTTCAGACCAAACCTTATATGGCATGACTTGACCAATAAATTTTGTTTTTTTTACTGGCATCAAAAGAGTAGTCATGATTTTACCCATAGTTGTAGATTCTTTAGGCATTAAAAACATTCTTTCAATTTCGCCTTGGTTAATAATATCAAGATCAAGTTTTTTAAATAAGATAGCCACAAAATTACCAATTTCTGGTAGCTGAAATATTAAGAAAATTAATTTAGACTTGAAAGTCTTAATGTAAAATACATGATAATAATTGTATATTAACCTCCCACATTGAACTGATATATCGATGAAATACATCATTAAAATAAACTTCATTTTCCCAACTGAGTATTTTTTCTAAAATATGTGCATTATCTTCATCCGTGGTAAGAGTAGTAGATAATATTTTATGATACTTTTTTAATCGTTCAGGGCGACAATGTGCAACACTTCGTAATAATACTGAATCATAACAATCTAAATATAAATAACAATGAATCATAACAACCTTAATATATTTATTAATTATAATGAGGTAATGTGAAATGTAAATAATAATTAAAATAAATTAACAATTTACCTTTTGGATATCTAAATTTAGAACTTGGTGTTCTTTCCATGTTTAGTAAATTAAATGTAAGATTAACATCAGCCAATGCTTTACAATCACTAAAAATAAATTATTTTATTTATAGGAAATAGGAATGCAATAAAAAATAAATGAATAATTATTACTTATCAAGGTGGCTAATTTTTTCTTCTAATAGTTCTTCAAGTTCTAATGATTTTTTAGTATGATTACTTCTAGCACCATAAAATGAATAGCAGTTCAAGAATACTTCCCTTATATCTTTTATTGCATCTGTAATGGAGTAGTATTCTCCATTTTTAAATTTTGTATCAACTTAAAATGAAATAAAATAATTATTAATAACATATATAACAAACACTTTAAGAAAAAAATGATATACTTTTCTTAAAATCAATTTGCTCATGTATAGATTCTGTATAATCAATATCTACAGTATTGTTTGATAGATCCTTTAAAAGAGGAGGTGCTTTCAAATATAGTTCTTCAAATATTCTACAAAATAAAAATATATAATATGCTAAATATATACACAGTATACACCATATCTCAATATATTAATTCAAAATTAATCATACATCATTCTGCATAAGAAATATCCATTAATAAAATTAAAATGTAAAATGAATTCATTATATCACAATATTGTAGTTCACTACTATGTAGAAAGTAACAAAAATCTATATTTTTCATTAATTATTGAGATGCATTATTTTTTCTTACTTGTAAATTTCTGATATTTCTTCATTTTCTTTTTTTTTGATATTGTTTGATTCATTCATGTTTACCTGTAACATAGTAATACATTAAGTATTAGGGATTGATTGCACCTACCTATATCTAACTATATCTATTTTTTATATTAAATATTAAACATGACGTAAAAAGTAATCTATCTATTGTGTATATATTTACATGTCATGTAATGTTTCAATGTTTAACATTTAAAAATAACAAAAAACTACATGATATACCTAAATTATAATACAACTTCAATATGAGTAAATGCTAGAAGTGTGTTGAATAATATTACTAGTTGAGTTCTTATACAGTTTTTACGGAATATTTTTCAAACATGTACACTAAAGACTTTGAACCTTACAAGTATCCCCTAAATAGACATCTTCGTAACAATTTTGATATTGAGAATAGATCAAAATGGTTTATAAATAACAGTTCTAAAAGTCACATTAAACCAAAATCTAAAAACCAAAAAATCGGTACTAAATGGAGAAAAATGTTGAACGATTACTCGCAGAATACGACTTTACATGGACTTAGATATGCCGGCAATAATGAACTAAGTGCAAGTGAAAGGTAAATATAAATAACAAAATAAAATATCATCAATGAATACAGTCTATTGAATATTATTTCTAATGGCGTTTAAAGGTGTTTTTGGATAATATCTTTTGGTTTAGCAGTTATCACAGCAATTTATTTTATTGCCAACTTGGTTCATAAATGGCAAGACATGCCTGTAATTATAAGTCTATCGCCAAAAGCAACCCAGCTTACGAGCATACCATTTCCGGCCATTACCATATGTAATATGAACAACGCAAGAAAATCTGTTGCCCGACATATTTTAGAAACGTAATGTATACCTAATTAGTAATTTACTAGCTACTAACTATGAATTTTGTAAAATATATAAATAATGTTTTACAACTATTCACGCACAGATCCCCAAAACTCGAAAGCAATATCGACCGACGTCTTTTAAGTGATTTCTGTGATGAAGATCCATTATCAATGGATTCATCGATTGACAATTACACAGGCGATTGGGATTCATTAAAAAAATTTATGATTAGAGTATCTCAACCTTGTCATGAAATGATCGTATCATGTCTATGGGCCAACAACCCTAAAGTTTGTTCAGAAATATTCAACCCATCATTAACAGACGAAGGTATATGTTGTTCATTCAATAGAGTAAAACCAGATTACATATTTCGGAACCCAAAAGATTTATCAGATTTAAATGTTACCTTTCCAAATCCGTCTGCAAATTGGACTCCTGAAAATGGATACCCGCCGAATACGCCTGCTGAATATACACCCTGGAGGCCCTGGGGCGCCGGTAATCATTTAGGATTAACTCTTGTTTTGGATGCTGAAATAGAGGAATATTATTGTTCATCAGAAGTCAGCTATGGATTCAAGGTAATATTATAAATTTATAGGGTCCAGATCAATCTTGTAAAACGATACTTTTAATTTGTGTTTAAATCAGGGCTTTTCTATATTAAACCCATTCATTATTTTGAAAAACAAACACGGGCTGCTTTTCTGGACGAAATAAAAATTCCCCGAAAAATTCACTCTAATTTTTTTTTTTGTTACTTGTGTTAATATTCAGAATAATTAACCCAGTAGGTATTATTTATTTTTCAAATTAAACTTAAGTTAAAAAAAATTGTTCATACTATTTTTTTATATAGGTAAGTACAAATAAAAATATAAAATGAAAAAAGTAGTTAGTAGATGTCGCTCTGCTGTACAGTAAGTTACAAGTGGGTCACTTCAAATGGATGGTATTAAATTTGAATACAATGATATAATATAATTTTATACGAAAAACGATTCTGAGCGGTGACGGTTTGTCTGCGTGGATATTTTATATTGTTATATTGCTTATTATTAATACAGTAGCCGGTAAGTTGAATTAATATTATAAAATTACAACAAAATAACAAAAATCGTTGTTCTTGGTTATTTAATGTAATTTCCACCAAGTTTGAACATAAAATAACGATGAAAAAAACTCTGTTTTTATATTTTTTGGTTACAAAATAACCTAATGCTTATAAGAAATCTTGTGTCTATGTATTTTTAATATTTTTTAGCTGCTATTTAAGCAATATATCAGGAGTCTTGTATTACATTTTGACGTTTTTTAGCCCAACAATTAAGTTTTATTGATATTCATAGAAAAAATAACCAAAAAAATTGAAATTTTAAATTGTCCGTAACAACAATCCAAAGTATAGGAATTGATAAACATATGACTTTCTTATAGGAATTTTTTTTAGATGACCGTTTAAAGAATCTTGTAGGTATTTCATTTTAAAATCTTAGATTTAAAAGAAAATTTTTTAGGAATTTCCAACTCTAAATAATTTGCACATTTTCGTAATCTTTATATGTTTTGTCGTGATTTAAACTTTAAATGCTTAAAAAAAAATCGTGACTGGATATTTAATATTTTTCAAATGCCATAATAACAATATATTAATAGCCTTACCCTTGTATTCAATTTTCAAGCTTTTTACACAACAAATAAAATTTTATTGACGTTTATAGAAAAAAACTAAAAAAATTGGAAACTTAAAATGTTTGTAAACAGTTTAAAACAAATAAATATTTTTGAAAATTTTACCGTGTATAGAAAATACTACCCAATATAAACAACCATCGAAAATTTCATGTAGGTACCTAAGGTCATTTTTTCTAGAGTCACACCGAAAACTAAAATCGATTTTATTGAAACCCAATTTTACATAAAAATGTCCGTTCTTCCTTAATTAACGCTTTCGAAAATTATTTGGAATTTTTACTTTTGACCCCCAAAGTACTAACTAGTTTCACTTTCCTATCAGTAAAGATACTGTTGAAGAAAATCTAACCATTTTTACTGTTCTAAAAGGTGATGACAGACAAAAAAATAAAATAAAGCAGGTTACAATAGTCACTGTAAAGGATGGTGTTAAATTTGAATTCAATGATATAATATAAGAATAACGATGTTGAGTGAAGCCTATGATATATTGATATTACTAAGAATAAAGTAATTTATATATAACCTATTTATGTGGGACCATATTTTAAATTTTCAATCCTTAGCTGTATAAGTTGAACATTTTATACATTTTTAACTAAAAAAAATTATTAAATTTTAAATTTCATACATTTTGTAAAAATTCGAAGTTGACAACATGCATATAAAAAAAATGTTTCCCATGTATTTTTATTATTTTTCAACTGCTATTATAACTTTATATCAGGTGCCTTGTATTAAATTTTCAATCATTTTTACCCAACAAATAATATTTTATTGACAACTATAGATAAAAAAAAACTAAAACAATTGATAACTGACAATTACAGTCAAAAGTCTCATTCAAATTCAAGATCGACATTAAAATTTCTAATCTTAGCTATGAAAAGAAAAACTTTTATGAATTTCTTACTGAAAAATAGTTTACAAAATTTGAAAAAATTATCATGGTTTTAAATAGCTCAAAAAGCGTCGAAATAGTTTGAAAATTTCACCGTGGACAATGCTGATATAAATATATGATAAACATTTAGTGTGTCTACAGTTATTCGATTTGAAAATACAACAAAATATAAAAAACGATCAATAATATCATTATATCAAATGTAGTAAAAATTATAAGTTCAATAGCTCATAAAAAGATAAAGTTCCGTTTAAGTACACTTTTTTTGGTTTGTAATATTTAGAGAAAATTTACAAAATCTTCATTCATATTTTTAATCTTAGGTATGAAAAGAAATTAAAACTTTTATGAATTTTTAACTAATAAATAATTTACAACATTCAAAAAATTTATCATGGCTATTAATAGCTGAAATCGTTTAGTAAAAATGTCAAGTATCTAGGTTCATTTGTTTTTAAGTTACAAAAAATTATAAAAATTGATTGATGAAAATTCTTTCATATATATACCTATATGAAAATCCATTATCGTAAAAATTTTAATTCAAACACTCATAAAATATAATATTGGTTTTCGGTAAACTTTTTTTTTTTGATTAAGCGATGTATATTTGGGAGGAGTCTTCTTTCAACATTTCTAATGTTAGCTTTGAAAAGTAAACAATTAATGAATTTCTAAATGAAAATTGTTCGATATTTTGTCAAATTTTAACTTCAAATGCATACAAAAAAAAAATCGTGCATATGTATTTCTGATTTTTTTTACTCATATTTATGAAACTTATAAGGAATCTTGTATTAAGGTTATAAGCTTTTTTAATAAGTGAAAAAGTTTTTATCGAGAATAGTTTAAAAAATAATTAAAAATTTCTCAAGGTTAGAACTAGCCCAAAAAGAGTCAAAATATTACGAAAATGTTACCATTTATGTGAAATAGTAATATAAATATTTGGTGAAAATTTCAATAATCTACGGTTATTAATTTTTGAGTTACACCAAAAAGAAAAAAAAGATTTTTTCAAAAATTGGTTTTTGGTAAAAATTATCACTTTTCTCGACGATTTCTAAAACTACTTGGAATATTCAATTATGACCTCCTAAAAGTGCCAACTAGGTTCACTTTTCTATCAGAAAAGATGCTGATCTTAAAAATCAAAGCATGCTTACTACCTACCTAAAATGTTGCTGATAGAAAAAAAAAAGAAAACACATTATTGTAAAACCAATATATTCTTTCGTTCCGCTCAGAATCTTAAATTAGTTAGCTTACCCAGGCTTGCAGATAGGTATCGAACAAAAAAAATGTATAAATGTTAAATACCATAGAATGTACCAACTTGTATTATAAGTAGAATTGTGTAAATATATATTATATTTTCATTCATTAATTTTTATACTCCTCTCCTATGGACATTATATATGTATTACATACAATAATGTATATCCGGGTGTACACACGTGTAAAGTACACTAAACTACAATAGTTCAAAACCGTATATGATAGAAGATATAATAAGAATAGTTCATCAGTGGCGCAACCCCTCCCCCCTCCGAAATTTCTCCGAGGCCTAGTATATTTTAGATTATGTATATATATATATATTGTAATAATGTAACATTGTACCCCCCCCCCCGAATTTGTTTTCTAGTTGCGCCTCCACTGTATAGTTCATAGTTCAATTCAAGTTACAATCTTAGATCATATACTATGGATGGAGCCACAGCGTATGATTTTGTTGCCGATATAGAGACGAGTCACCAAATTAGGTGATCAATGTGCGCAAGCGTAATGCAACTCCTCGCATAATTATCCATAGGTAAAATAGGTGTCTGTGGATAAATACGCGAGAAGTCACGTTCTGCATGTGCATATCGACCACCTAATTCGGCGACTCGTCGCTGATATCGGCAAAGTTTTTTTGTATTTATTTAATATGGTGTGGCTCCATCCATATTCCATAGTATATGATCTAAGGTTACAATTCAACTTTACTTATAAGCTATATCAAGTATAAAATTACAACATTTTGATAATATTAGAACAAAGACAATAATGTATTCAAATAAAAGTATTTGATTATAAAATACAAATACGCATGAAATAATATTTCAAATATATACCTATTTTGAAATAAATTATTTAAAAAATATTCAAGAAGTATTCTAAATACATTACACCTACTATACATAATATTTTAATACTTTACAAGATTGGTACGAATTTGGTTAAGATTGGTTAAGAAAAGTAGAAATGTTACAGTAATATATGCTAATTAAACCTAAAAAAATGTTTTTAATATGCAAACATTATGTACAATAAAATATTGCTTTAATATGTACATTCAATTTTTTTTATTTAAATTAATCATTGGATGCACATTAATGTCACCTAACTAACTTAAAAATAAAGTAAATAATAATTTTTCTTGCGTAATTTGCAAAATATTTATGAAGTTATGAAAATATGCTAAAAAAAATATTTTTTCTTGTGAACTCTGTTTTTAAGGAATCATCTCTATTTTTTTCTACCATCAAACTACATACACTAAATATGAAGATAATAAATTATTATATAAAATCATGAAAATCCGGAGTCTAAATATAATATTTTATTATAGGTTATAAATCATAAATTATATTCCAGGTGATGTTACACAGTCCTGTAGAAACTCCAAAAATATCATCATTTGGTAGTTTAGTATCTCCAGGAAGAGAAACATCATTGGAAATACACCCTACCGTAGGGATGGCTACACCAACATTAGCTGAGATAGAAAAAGAAAAACGTCAATGTGTGTATTCAGCAGAAAAACAATTGAGATTCTATAGAACTTATACTCAACGGAACTGCATACTAGAATGTGAAGCTAATTTTACATTAACGTTTTGTCAATGCGTCATGTATTATATGCCAAGTACGATACTATTAAATGTATTACTTCATTAACATGCTTTGTACGGGCGTAGCCCGTTTCACCCAAAAATGACGGTCCCCTTTTCGGCCGGTACCCGTTTCGTCCAAATTTTGTTTCTATATGATTTCCGTTTCGCCCAGAGTAGTTTAGACCAATATAAAATTAAGTTGGCAATAGTTCAGTCAAATATTATATTTTAAAGAGTGCCAAGAAGAAAAGGTGCTAATTACGCGATTTACAAACAACTAGACAAGTACACAAAAGTATGTGGAATAATTTTAAAAATAAAGTGTAGGTACTAAAAATATATTTTTAACGATTAAAATCGATTTTATTATATGTGTAGATTTTTATCATGGGGAAAATTTGATTTTTTAATAATAAGTTTTAAAAGTTTTTATAAATATTGTGGACTAAATTTTAAATTTGTTAAATTTATTTCTTTTGTGAAAAACAAAATTTTTTTTTAAAACAAAGAGTACTTATCGCCTTGTGGTGTACTTGTCAAGTACTCAAATATTAAAATATTATAACCATTGCCAACTTAATTTTAAATTGGTCTTAACTACTCTGGGCGAAACGTGATTAATATGGAAACAAAATTTGGGAGAAACGGGTAAACGGGCGAAACAGGGTGAGTAATTTTTGGGTGAAACGGGTCCCGCCTCTTTGTATAGTGCTGCAGGGTCTGGGTAATTCTTCAAAAAGAGAACAGGACCCACTAACCTAACCTAAAACACTCGACCATGATAAAATTGTAAGTTTGCTGGGGCGAATTTAATTCTGGGAAAATCTTAACATTTATTAACATATAGAACAGTAGAGGAATTTTTTCGAAATTAAAATTCCTTCAATACATATACTGAACAAAAATGTTGTATAAACTGATTTAAGCAATTCAGAGGTTTCAATTCCAAACGGACCTTCTCCATTTTTCTAATTTTTCAGGATAGTTCTTTTTATTTGTTTCCCTGAATTTCTGATATCGAAAGTTTTCGTCTTAAAATGTGTACATTATATTTTTAAGTTTAAATTAAGTAATTTTGGACAAAACATTTATTTTCCAGGAATAGGTCCCTTTTGTACAAAACACTTAACAACAATTAATATCCATAATAGGAGCATTCCTGACAAATATTTTCCTGACAATTAAGTACCATTAATATTTTTTTGAAATATATTATAATTTTTAAATATTTTATGATCATAACTTTTTTATTTTTCATAATCTTAAGAGCGCCTAGGCACCCATGTTTTCACGGAATCGTGCATGTAGATTTTAATAGCCATTGATATGCATACACGATTCCGCAAATGTCATATATGTTATAAATATACAATTCCACGTAATTGTAAATACAACAATGCCAAACAATTGTTTGCTCTCATTATTATAAAAAAAAAACTATGTTTTTGCAACAAATTAATGCTTATGCGAAGTTAACACCAATAGTATAATTAACCCTAAATCACGTTGGAATTTTAGTATGGCTTTGGTCACTATATGTTTTTAGTTGTATTGAATATTGATATTATAATATTATTATGTATCATTATATTTTTAGAAGACAGTTTCTCGAGAATTTGTGGTAAAAAAGATGAAGAATGTTCGAATAAAGCTAAATGTAAGTTTATTCAAAAAGTAGAATAGTATAATTTAATTGTCTACCTATTTTAAACTTTAAGATTTTGAGCTCAGCGACTAATGTATTGATTATGCAATGATGTAGGGTTTTCTGCCTGTTTTTACCTTTTGGACCAGTAAAAATGATAAGATTTTAAACTTTGGGGGTGGTTTTTGATAACAAATTGGGTCTAGTTTGTACATGGTGGGAAGGGGTTAAAAGTAAAAAATCCAATCTACATTTTTAAAAATAACTTGCAACCATGGTAAAACATAAAATTATAAAAACAAAACGGGAATTTTTATTTAGAAACAAATAACGATAGATAGTTAAAATTGTCATAAATGTTTGTATTAGAATTTTCTATTTACGGTATAATTTACTACGGTATAAACTATACAATGATTATCACATACATTATAGCGACCTACCCAATGACAAGGTACAATAGAACACCTACTAAACAACATGCCAGTTACCTACTTTCCCACTCTTATTTATTTAATTCATAATTTCAATAGGTGTACATTAAATAAAATGTTCAATGACTTTTAGAATTCGCTGCTTTGATTATCAAAAATGATGGATATAATTTTATGTACGATTTATACATATACCCAACTAATAAATAAACTTTATTAATTTTTAAGTGGCGATAGAACTACGATATAGTTCACCATTAACGAATATGAGTAAATTATTGAATGGAACATATTTACCGAATTGCACTTGCCTACCAGGATGCCATTGGATTGGATATAATAAAGTACATTCATCATCACCTTTGGCCAATAGTTATAAAATCAAGCAAACATATTTAGCTGGAAGAACTTCCACTTATTTTAAGTGAGTACTTATCTAATCTAATTTTAGATACAAAGTGAAGCGATGAACGTATTGATTTTACAATGATGTGTTTTATTTTTTTATTATTTATGTCACACGATATGTGGTCAAAATAATTCTTCAATTTCCAACTTCAGTATTTTTTCTGTTGGTAAAGTGAATCTATTCGGGAGGTCAAAATTTTAAATCCACAGTAGTTTTTGAAAGTGCTGGGAAAAATAAAAAAAATGAAGGAAAACGTGAATTTTTACTAAAATCAGTTAAAAATGCTTGAGAATTAAATACAAGGCTCCTCACACATTTTTATACAATATAAGCTTAAAAATAATAAAAATGCTTTGTTAAGATTGTTTTTCAACCATTTAAAGTTAAATTTTTTTCATTTTTATCAAATTGAAAATGTAGAAATTATTTGTCAATATAAATTTATAAAATGTTCAATTTTTATAGCTAAGTATTGAAATTTTAAAAAAAGGTAAGTAGTTAACAACGTAAGTAGTGTTACTGTATAACCAGCAAATCATAAAAATATATAAGTGAAGTTTTTTTTTAATAATTATTTTAAATTCAAATTTTGACAAAATTACATATTAAACCCAAGAATACTGATTTTAGTTATTTTGTTGTATTATAAAACTGTATTCGTGGGTATACTTGACACTTTTAGAGAAGAGCGACTAGAGATATTATTATATTTTATACACACAATGACATTTTAAAATTCAATTTTTTCCACAAAAATTAATTTAACCTACCTACTGTAGTATACTAATGCTTGCCTAAGAGTAAAATAAATTAGTTTAATCATAATAATATCTACTTAGTAATATTATAGGCTGACAGACGGTCTTCGCTCAGAATCGTTTTTATTATACAATGATTTTATATCATTGAAATCAAATTAAATACATCCATTACAGTGACTCTCTAGACACCTAATATAAACAGTAGAGTTTAATCGCTTTTTATTGTTTTATTTAACAAATACTATTTGGTTTTATAAAGCATTCAAATTATTTAAATTTATGGAGATATTACGGATATTAAACGGAGGGAGGGAGAGAATCCCTGGTTTGCTCTACATTTGGGTATTCGTAGGTATTTCACATCAAACATTAAATTTTCCTAAATAAATGCAATTCTAATATTTATTTCTAAGCGTATCTAAGTTTTTATAAATAATTGGTCACACTCCCGTCCCGGTTACTCTTGCTAGCAGGTAATTTTCAATACTTATAAGACGAATTAAAAGTTCTAAATAAGAATCAAGATTAAATGTACTACCTCCCCTCACATACACTATGTTAAATGAAATATAAAACATGACAAAGTTGTTCATTGTTTGGTAACTTCAAAACGCCATTTAGACTTAGCTTTATAATTTAAATTAATTTTCCTTTTTATTATATATAAATGCATAATATCCACTATTTTGTATACAAACAAAAACATAACACAGTCTTTTATTGTAGGTTTTTCCGGGATTTCAAGATTACCACAAAATCGGATTATATGCGTGGTCGTCGGGCTAATATTATGGGTGGTCATTGGTTAAATTATTAATTGGATACATATCTAACTGTTGCCTCTTTATATACTACATAATATTAGCTAGTATTATATATTTCTATTAAGAAGACGCTACACCCTCATATGTTGTCTCCGTCTTACAAATGGAAAACATAGCGAAAACTGTTTGGCGTGGGAAAGAACCGAGAAGGATACCAGTCATAACTAAGAAACGAGATTTTCACCACATAAAAAGGAGAACTTTGGCTGTGCAATGTCGTATTTATTTTTTCGTATAAGTGATCTCAAATTTCTCACTCAAAAGTTAAAAAGTTCATATTTTTACAACATTGGTTATTCACTTGATTTATCATGTAGCGATTTTGTTATTTTGTTGTAATTTAAAAATAAATAACTGTAGATACATGAAAATTTGGCTGAATGTTTAAATTCTAATTTGCTATACACCATAACATTTTTAATATATTTTGACTTTTTTTGAGCTGTTTACGGACAATTTCAAATTTCAATTTTTTCAGTTTTTTTTTCTATGATTGTCAATAAATTTTTATTTGTAGGGTAAAAATGTGTGAAAATTTAATACAAGGCTCCTGATATAATATTACAATAGTAGTTATTAAAAATACATAGGCAAATTTTTTTTTTATGAGCATTTAAAGTTCGATTTTTGACAATATTCATCAAATTTAAAATTTAATAATTATTTTGTCGTTGAAAATTTTATAATATGTTCAACTTTTATAGCTAAGGATTGAAAATTTAAAATAAGGTTCCACGTAAATAGGTTATATATATAAATTACTTTATTCACAATAATATCATCAAATATACTTAGCATAATATCATACGCTATCTGACCGTCTTCGCTCAGAATCGTTTTTCTTATACAATGATATTATATCATTGAATTCAAATTTAACACCATTCATTACAGTGACCCACTTGGAACCTACTGTACAGCAGAGCGACACCCACTTAACCACCTTTTTTTTTATGAATTTTGTGAATGTAGCAAGTCTTACAGTATTGCG